GTTTGTCATAATACTTTATTGTAGCAAAAGAGTTTGATTTGTTGGTTACCTGCACTAGATGGGACAAGGTTTTGGCTTCTTGAGCAAGTTAAAATGTGCTTTTGAAGGTCCATTTATTATGTCTACACTTGAAGTCAGTGTGAAGGTGAAGGGCAGACATCCGCTATGACGCTAGACAGCTCTTGTTTCCAGATGCATATTCATAACAGTATTGATAAGTTTTTGTTAAAATCCTGCTATAAGCTGGCACTTTCTTTTTAGTCTTTGGCATGCTAGCCATTAAAATCCATATTTGAAAATCAATGTTCATTGGATAAGGAGATTTTCATTCATACATGTTTTAAGGCTTCCTCATTCAGTGCAGTCTTTCTGTGTAAAATATACAAGAGTTTTATAAATGCCAATTTAGCAACATCTGCAGCCAATCACAAAAAGTGCAAATTAAGGAAAATCTTGAGGAATTTAACAGAAGTTAAAAGCTATTTTTAACAAGATAAACGAGAAATGAACTGCACAGATTAAAACATTATAGCAGAGAATTACAATAAGAAAATAACTGCCCTGAGTTCATAGTTGAACACCTCTGCATGCTGAGACCCAGTATCGCCTTAATAACATTAGTGATTCTTGCCTGAGGATAAGGATTATTGACACTGTTAACATTAACTTTACTCATTTTTTTCTTTTTTCTTCTGCCTGTTATTATCTAAGCGAGGAAGCAGCCAGTTACGTTTTACCTAACAGCCTAGGTTTGCTTGTCATCACATCTTTGAAGCCCGTCTGTGAATGCTAGGAAGAGTTTCTAAGCAGAAGAAGGGAGAGAACAAGGTTCTGGTTTGGATATTGTCCTACGTCTGCAGTGCTTCTGGCCAGTCATTTTGCACCAGTACAACCACTGTGCTGAAAATGATTAGATTGCTGTAAATTTCCTGCTTAAAGAGAGCTAGAATCTACTGGAATCAATTAAATCCCACACTGAAATCCTGGCTACGCTCAGTACACACAGACTTGCTAAAGATTTATCTCAGGGTTTTCCCAACAAAAGAGGTTTACGTCAGAGTCAAAAGAAAGTTATATTTTTTTTAATCCAGTTTTTTGATTAGGGGTTTATATACTGATATACGAACAATGCTTTTCTTTGTAAGATGGTTAGAAGTACCAGGAAATGTTCTTCATCAGATAAGGTAATGCAGACTCATTACATTCAATGTACACGGACCAGCCTTGCTGATGAGGGTAGTCCTCCCCCAAAGACCCATTATAAGCCTGGAAAAACCTTGTGTATGCAAATTTTATTTATCTTTTTTGTTAAGTAACCCAGATGAAGTGAGGATCAAATAAAGTTGACGTTGAAGCTCTATTTTCTCTCTTCATTGTTCTCCCTTGAATATGGGTATGTACCTGTTAACTCGCCTTCTATTTTGCTGTTCCAGTGACGAGCTGTAATTCACACCTGTAAAATGCTATCTGATCAAACTCTAAATAGACACTGAAAAGCCTGAGACAGGAGAGGTCTCATGCAAAGCATTTAGAAGGCTTTTGACTTGCTGAAGTTTGAAAATTTCTTGCAGCACTGCAAGGAGCCAGATTAAGAGGGCTAGTCAATCAGCTGGTGTGTTTGGGCCTGGCAACAATCATGTGTTATCTGATCTTTACATAAAATGCGTGTTGTGTAGCACATACAACTAGGAAACTGTTTCTAACGTCTAAAATCAGCACACTGCTGCCTTTTTACGCAGAGCTGTGTTGCCGCACAGACTCTGGCTGCAGATTGATTCAGCTTGATACTGCGTTTGATCCCCATAGTCAGGAAAATCACTCATAATGCCCGAGCAGCTCGTTCTCCAGACCGAGACACTGATCTGCTGTTGCACAGGTCAACCATGTGTCAGCTGAACAGATGGAAACAGAAGAGTGGGGTCTGCTGAGGAGCAGAACCACCCAGTGAATCAGATCCAGATAGTCGTTCAAATCCAGCCAATACTGACAAAACTTGAGACTCTTCCAAACACGAGTGTTTGTAACTTTCCACGTTTTATTGTTCAGTATTTGAAGAGAAAACTCTGAAATGCAATTCTTGCACTAAGGTGCCCTCCTCGACTAAACAGGAAACAATAAAAAATTTATTATCGGGCAACTTCCAGCAATTATAAAAGCATGATCATCAAGATAAAACTCTTTGCTGTGATGCTGTTGTTTTGTCTTGTGATATAAATCTACCACACCTCTTTCCTTTAAACCAGTGTATTAAGCTTAAATCAGGAGTTTTAAAGTGTGCCTGACTAGTAAAGCCATTTAATAACATCTTATAATGTCTTATAATAAGTGCAAATCCAACAATAGATCTCAGTGTTTCTGCATAGTGCCATTAGATGTGTATTAAAGACAAGTCAATCTGCAAGGGACCTTAACCTATGGAGTAATTTGGAATCAAAAATATAAATTGTACTTTTCCAATCAAATGTTTTGGTGGACCAGTGTTGGCCCCGGGTCATCAGACTGGTTAATTTGAGCCTACTTTATAGATACATATGTCTGTTTGCAAATCTGCTGGCCTGGGACAGGAAGATGTTCCTAAGCCAGCCAAGAGATGTAATCCTTCTAGCATGAGACCCTGAGTCTGGGAGGGGCGTCATCTCTGTAGAGCACAACACCCAAAAAGCCAAACTGGGGAGGCATTGTACTCAGATTCCTGTACATTGACTCAAAGTCAATACAGTCAATAAATCATTCATTTAATTACAAAGTTGGTTGTCAGTAAAACTAACAAGAAATCAGAGAAAAGGACAGAAAAATAATATAGATCATTGTTCCACTGAAATACAGCTATAGCAGTGTCTCACACCTGGTGCATGTGATAATAAATATACAAGAACTTGTACTTGATAGTGACCGAATGTTGTCTATAGATGGTGATGCTGGCGACATTGAACTTCTGATGGTCTACATGCTTTTGTACTTGCCTCAGTCTGACCTCAATTATAGCAAGAATCATAATTGCTTCTTCTTCTTTCCTCTCTTTTTTTGGTCAGTACTGGACTAACAGTTGTTTTGACATGATGATTCGAGTGTTGCATTTATGGAACTTTTGGATTCCTTGAACCCAACATGTTTCCAAACAGACTCCTTGGTTTTGCTGGTCCTGTTGACCAGAGGTTCTCTTTCTGTCATCTTATTTTGAGCTAAACTAAACTTGTGGAGTGAGTTTGGGCTTTTGGGGAGGGTGGAAAGTGCTATAAAGGAAATGAAGTCAAACACATACCATATGTTTCATGTTTTATTTTCCTTTTTTTTTTTTAAATTTAGGAAAGTCCCATTTTCTTTTAAGTATTCCTTTAATGCATCACGTTTCCAAAATGAGCTGATGTTAAATAATCTTAATATAGACCAGAATAATCCACCTCAAACCTTTTCTTCCATTATATTTTAAGCATGTTTTTAGATTTTTAGTTCTGAGTTACTGAATTCCTTTAAAGGATTTAAATGTGTTTTTTCTTCATAAATGATCCAGTTTCCAGCTCCAGGTTGCTGGTTGACTGTTGTTATGGCATAGGGAATTTTAACGGTCTGAGTGTTATTTGTGTTCTCAGTTTGTTTGTTGACGAGTTGTTATGATTACAAGATGTAAAGCCACCGAAGTCGACACAATGGTGCGCAGATTTTACTGTGATCAGTCTGTCCCTACCTGCTGGGTTGCTAACAGCCAGCTGTGAGCAGCTATGAAGCGGATGTCAAGGCAAGAAACACAAATGTCAGGGGCAAGTAATTCTGTTTAGATTTATCTTCTGTGTGTGTGCTCTAAGTTATTATTAAAGTAGATTTCTGTGCTTCTCTTAGGTTATACAGTGAAATAACCTAAATATTTCGAATATATTTAATGAATGAAGCCCTGCAGCTGGTGTGGGTTGCTTTTAATTCTCCAGATGTCTTCCATAGAAGCTTCTATTTTGAATTCGCCCAACAATTTTATTGCTCTTTTATAAGATGCAGTCTTTTGGTAGTAGTGAGGGGAAATCTCATTTAATGTAGTCTTTTCTTCGGGGTTGTTATCACTTTTACATGGAAATGCTAAAGTTTCCTTCAACATGAACCTCTTAAACTCTTGTAGAGTAGCTTTGCATGATTTACAGTTCAAAATAATCCTTATTTATCTTACACAAGGTCTTGGCACTGCCCCTTAATTTTTCTTCTGTGTAAACCAATCTGTTTTAGCTGATCGGCCCTTAAGCTATCTTTCTTCTTATTGGCTTTTTTTCCCCAGAATATCATGAGATATACGATTTGTCACTTTTCTCCAAGGCCCTCCCTTCTTTTCTGTCTCTGTCTACGACTTGTGTAAATGCAGATTTGCCTCCAGTTACAATGCCTGGTGCAAATTTGTGTCAGTTCACCTCATTGCAGTGACTTCGTGTGCATAAATGTGCCATAAGAGTAGAACAAACAGTCTGAAAATTAGTGTTTGGTGCAGCTTGTAAGCTACAACTCAACTTATATTTACTTATATGACAAAAAAAAAAGAAAAAATATATCATCAAATCATTTTCACTTCATCAGTGGTATTGGTGTTATGTTCAGATCACATATGATTAAGCTTAAACATTGTCACTATTTCACTATTCTTTAAATATCAACCACTACAAATCACTCTCAAGTAACAGCCCATAGTTGTAGTAAGGTTGCCAGCTGTACCTGGTGGAGTTCACCCTGGACCTGTTTTTTTTCACCTCTACATTTGTCATTGCTTTTGCATGTTCCCCCTGTAATAGCATCTAGTCTCACCATGTCACACAGACTTATTCCCTCTGTTAGCAATTAACACGTTCTTTCACTTTATTTGTGTTTATTGCTGCTTGGTATTTTAAATATTCAAAAATAATGACCTGTTATTAACAAATGGCAAATAGAACTGTCAGTATTACAGCATAACTTGTGAAAGGTTAATTTCTACATTGCAAATGAACATATTGTGATTGTCCATTTTTTCTGTGTTTTCTTGACAGTTGGAGGCCAACGGGCTTCTCCCTGCACCTGGGATGGTGCTTTTTGACAGAGCGGCTGTGGAGCCATAACCCCACCGCCATCATCATTCCATCCTCTTGACTGTAAGCCGTTGGCCCACCACTGATCTCACGCCCAGGCTCCCCTCCTTCCCTCAGCTTTGCTCAGTCCCTGACAAGGCCACCACAGCCACCACATGACTCACCGACTGGAGCCCTAGATCAAGTAAGCACGGTGCTCTGTACTCGTTGACTTGAGTGCTGCAGTATGTCTCATTGCAAGCCAGAGTGATCCCTCGCACAACTTGTGTGTTCTGCAGCAAACTGTTATATAACATTGATTTCCCACTGAATACTGAAAGAGTAATTTTCTATATTGACTAGAATACTTTTTTAGTGATTATTTTAATTTCTGGACTGAGCTTCTAACGAAGGCTGAAGGTTGTGTTTGTAGGATGGCAGTGGCAAACCTGAGGTCAAGTAAAGCAAGACACAGCGGCTACGTATTGAACGTGGATTTATTTGAAATTTATTTTATGCTTGTTTTGTAATCTAGTTCTTATTATCTATTATTCTCTTAACTGCTTTTGTGATTGAATATCACCAGTAGCCCAAACTAGTTAAAATATTAAAGTAACATATAAGCAAGTTTAGGAGGGTGAACCAGCCTATTGCGCTGAAAAGGTGTTTTTCCTTGAAAATGGCAGCTTATCAAAATTGATGGTGATTAATCAGTGTTTCAGTACCAGTGTTATGAGTTATTGTATTTAAAAACTGCATCCACTTCCATGCATTTCTTTCATTCATGGGATTTAGTTTACTCCAATGTACATTGATGTAAGGCCAAACCTGTTTACTCTTGTCATATTTTATTATCTTATAACCTCATTGAAAATTCATTTTTTGTTTCAAAATCTGTTCCTGACCAGGAGAAAATGAGAGTTTATCCTGGTTTAAAATAGACCTTTGCCAGAGTGGCAGATACATTTACCTCTTAATTTTGTTCATTTTATAATCCAAAAATATATTTAGGCTTGAGTAAATTAAATTACTTGTGTGCAGGAAAAACCCTGCAAACTATAGTTTGTTAGCAGTAAAATGGTGAAATAAATCTAATTTAAATCAAGGACCCAAGTGTGAGATTTGCCACAAAACCTCGGGAGTGCCATCGTAATTATATTGTCACTGTAGGTGTTTGTTTGAATTTATTTATAAGGTGTAAATGCACTGTGAGATTGGTTTGATTTGCGTTTTGTTCTTTTCAGTTTTGCAGGGCAAGTCATTTATTTTAAGTTCTGCAGTATGCAGACAATGCACAAATGGCTGACTTGAAAGACTCCAGTCTTTGCCATCTCCACACATAGTTAATAGCCTGTCAATTTAATTTTAAAGAAGACAAGTTAGTTAAACTTAGATTTAATAGTTTATAGAAGCGAGAACGAGAAGAAAAAAACTTCAGGCCAATGAAGTGCATTGCTCTGAACATCCCAGCATGTCTGAGGAGGCCTCCCATAGCGTTTCACAAGTTGAAATGAGGACACACACACCCACATTCACGCGCCAAATTACACAGTGCCCAGCAGAGTTCAATAAATGATGAATATTCATGTGGAATTATCAGCCTGGCAGTGAACGTGTTTGAGAGAGAAAGCGTACTGTGAAAAAATTAGGTGAACAATGACACAGACGCTAAGAAAGGCAGTTACACAGATCCGACGGCCCATGGGTGATATTGTTTTAGTGGTATATTTGATGTCTTTTAAAAGATTGATAAGGAATATCGTATGTTTTGCTCAGAAAAAGGCGAGAGGATACTTCTATCTCAGCGAAAATGTATATTTCTATATTTTGGTTACATAAATGAACAGGGCAACTACAGGTAGCAATTCTCTGGTTGTCTCTCACCTCTAAAAACAGCTTTGTGCTGTGCTTTCTATACACTAAGATCTCTGGCTAACTGTCATAATGTCTGAGGAGCTGTGTGTAGTCCAAGGTTATTTCTTACTCTTGGTAAACATCCTGGATCTGGGTGTTCACAGATGGTTGGGAAACAATGGGCTGGAACTTAACAGGGTATTCAGTTGAGAAGCAGGGAATCTTAAAGGGCCACAACAGCATTTTTTGAATGTTGTATGGTTTTTCATTGGGATTTGGAAGCATGCGTAGTATAGAGGCTAGGCAGTTTGCATTTCAGTGCAAGTATGAACACATTTTTGTACACACTATATAATATATGTGAAGAATGCCAACACTAGACAATAAATTGGGAGCAAAAAATTGATATTTGTCAGTGAAATATTTTGCAATATTTTACACTTTTGCAGAAGTCAGCTCAAACATATAGCCTGTTGGATAAGCTGGATTTGTGTAAAATTTAAGCCTAACATTAGCTGTAACCAGCTGTTGTTGTTGTTATGGTTGTTGTCCCATACAGGGTGGCTGACATGTCTTATTTGCTGACAATAACTAAGTGCAACAATTTTGGAAGTCAGTCAATTTTTCTAATGTACATCAGAGTTTTTAGCATTTCTTTCTGGTTATTTCTGGTTTCACCATTCGAAAACTAACTTTTACAGGTTTAAACATGGGTAAATGATAAGTTTTTTGAAAAAATGATTTTGTTGATAATTTCCTGATCATCTTTTGAAGTAAATAAACCACCAAAAAACAACAACAAAAACATACATCAGTGATTCCAACTGTTTAACTTGGAACACAGTCGTCAACATTAACATTTCTTAAGTTGCAGTTTTTTAAGGTCATAGATCTTACATTTTTGGGCGTTTTGGTGTTTCCACCGAAGCGCAGCATTGGTGGACCTTGAAGATCTTGGACTAAAAAGTGAAACAACAAAGAAAAAATGTTGGCAGATTTATTATTGTTTGTTGCAGCCTTGCTTTTATCTTTCTTGGATTTGCACAGATAACTTTGACTGCATTTATTCAAAACTCTAACATAGATATGATGTTGAGGTAAGCCAGATATGTGTTTAAATGACTCATTTCCAGCAGTTCTAAAAGCAATTTATACAGTTAAGTGCGTATATATTTGGAAAGAGATTACGACAATGGATTATCACAATGGATATTAAATGAAACAACTCACATGCAATTGAAGTGCAGACTTTTAGCTTTAACCCTGGAACTCTTTCATGGCATGCATTTTTAATTTCTTTTTGCTATTTGGGCTGATTGGGACCCGATGAATGTAAAAACAAAGATTACCAGATTTGTATTTTTTTTTTAATTTTTTTTACCTGATTTTTGTTTCTGAGAAAAATGAGATCCACATATGAAGACATTCGTTTAAAATTTTGATAGAACAGTGGCAGTATAATGTCCTTGTAAGTGGATATCAGGCCCTTGTAGAGCAAAATTTTGTATTTTGCTATAGATTACTCTAACTGTAGCTGAAGAACATGGCTTTTTTGCATAGTTTGCAAGACTTTTTTCTTATGGCATGCCAAATGTAACCCTCTGCTACTGAAACAATATTCAGCAAGTGAGAATTGGGTGCACATTTTCACTTGAAGAGAAAACCGCTCATTTAAGGAACCTATTGGGACAGTCTCTCGCCAATCAAAACTGATGGCAGCATAGTGCTAAAAACTGTGCTATAGACAGACTGATGTTTATATCATTTATGATGTTGGCACTTACAGAGCTCAGACTGTCTATTACAAAGCAAGAATACCACCATACTGTTCCAATAAAGAAATAAAATACATCAGTTTTTGCTTTTTATTCCCTATTTTAAAATAATTGATTGTGAGCCAATTTGGTCATATTGGTTGTGATCCTACAGCCGCATGGATGCCAATTCAATGCACTCTTACTTCTTTCATAGGAGTCAAGAGGGGTAAGTAGCAGACGGGCACTGCTAATCAAATGAACTTGATCAACTAATCATCAGCAAGTATGACCTTGTCTATTAAAATTTCCTGGCTGGCAAAATCACCCAGGTCACTTCATCATGGCATAATTAGAAAAGACTGAACAGGCAATGGATTGTTTGGAAGGATTGCCGGGAAAAAGCCTGTTCTTTCTAAAAAGAACCTGACAGCATGGCTTAGGTATGCACAGTGGGATCTGAGCAAACCACAAGACTTTTAAAACAGTTTCCTTTGGACAGATGAGACTAAAGTGGAGATGTTTGGCCATAATGCACAACACCATGTTCTGAGAAAACCAAACAGCAAATATCAGGACAAACGCTTCATACCAACTGTCACAGAGGGTGGAGGGTGAGGATTTGGGTTTATTTTGCAGCACCTTGCAGTCACTGAGTTCACCATAGACTTCACAAATGTGAGGCGGAACTTTCATTTGGGAACTATTTTCAAACCAAGACTAGACATGGAGAAAATATGTTAATATAGAAATTATGATGCATTTTATGCAATTGTTCTTTTAATGCTGTGTCAATTTTTGGGCCTTTTTGTGGCTAGGACAGTGCAGAGAGTAGACAGGAAAGTAGTAAGAATGAGGGTGAATGACATGCAGGAATGGGTCTGGAGCTTGATCATACCCAGGTCAGAGCAGCAAGCAGTACTTTACCTGTTTGAACATCCTTCAGTGTAATGGTCAGCTGCTCAACCAACTAAGCAATATCAGCACCTGTCGTTCCCCCCTTTTTAAATGATCCCTTCCGCCAAGTAGCCATCTGACAAGCTGATAGCAATTTTGGTAAGTAAAAAATGGCTAATGATAGGTCAGTAAATCTTTGTCTCAGTGCCATGACTGATGACATTGGAGATGCACTGAACTGATTTTTCCTTATAAATTTCACTTAAAGATTAAGTAAAAAAAGAAAAGAAAAAAAACTTAACTGAGGATATTTGTGTCTTTTTCCATAGAAAACATTCTTTTTCATTGCTTACATGCTCCAAACTGGACTTCAAAGTACCCCTTGCATGGGGGTCCATGCTTTGGGACTGATTTAATTTGTAGAAAATTTGTATGCAGACAGGGTAATAGTTTGTTTTGGAAAGCAAGCTTGCGGCGCACTCTAAAATCAAGCCAATTCAATCATTGCTCTACATAAACTGTAGGTCACAACATTTGTTTGAAAAGTCAAACGACATTTGTATTTCTTTTTCCTTTTTTGTAAATCGACGGCTGGTTTGGAAATGTTAGACTAGACTGCATATTTCATTTATAAGCAGACAATATATGGAATGGAAAATACTAAATTCCCATTATGCAGAAGAATGTAGGAAGCCAGGGT